TTGATTCTCAGCATAGATCTGGCTAAAAGCCCCCACCAAGAGCCATGCCACAGCCTCAGCTGCCTTCAAATTTCTTCTCTCGGATTAACCAGTCCACTGCTGTTAATCTCCCTCTTAGGCAAAGTCTCTTGACAGGAGCAAAATGCAGACAAACTTTGCCAAACCACAACATACATTTTCTGGAATCCAACAACCAATGTAGACCTTCCCAGCAGAGATCTGAACCTGGTCTTTACTCACACAATTTCTGTCGGTCTCTGGTCTTACTCTTTTCATGTGGCATGTTCAACCTTCCCAGAGGTTTGGTCAGTTATATTCACAGCAACATCCCCACCTCTCTGGTACGAAATTCTGTTTTGGTTACTTTTCTCTCCTTGCTGAGACAAAATACCCATCACCCCAAATTAAGGAAGGAAAGGTTTATTTAGCTCACAGTTTGTGGAGTATGAAGTCCATAAAAAAAACTACATGGGGCGGGCAGAAGCCAGCATGAGCAGCAAGAACAAAAAGTGGAAGAGAGCGAGCCTCCCTCATGGTAAGCAGACTCCCCACCCACACCACCTCTGTACCCTCCGCTGACACAGGCTCATGATGGTTACAAAGTGAGGACCCTGGCCTCCTGCTGAAATGCTAGTCAAGTTTCTAAACATTTCAACTCTCAAGCTGACACAACGTTTCCACCATTGCAGTGGCCAGAGCAACTTCCTGCAGCTCTGTAATGAAATGCCCCTTGGTGTGGGATAGGCAGAGTTTACCTAGGAGGGAGAGAGTGAGGGAGCTGAGTTGATTTTCTGGTGGGAAAAGGCCCAGGGGTGACAAGAAAGGCTTTCTTTGAGGGGAGACTAAGAGTGATCACAGGCTCCAGTGTTTGTGTCATCCAGGAACCCTACCTATCACAAGGTACCTGTTTATGTGTCACCGTAAATTGCTGCAAGTGCAGTGGGAGGTACTACTGGGAACTAACAGACATAAGGGACAGTGTGAACACAGGCTGGGAGATTGTGGAGGCCTTAAAGATCAGAGTTTGTCTTGGTTGTGCAGCCGCATTCTTTGAAGTCGTGGAACCTGTTCTTTTAGCCTTATTTTATGCCGAAGTATACCACACAGAACAAGTACAGGCAGAGCTCTTGCTATGAAAATGGGCCAGTTGCATGACATTGAAAAGAAACTGGCAGAATAAGATTGTATGAGGCATCCCAGAGCACAGAGCTTGGAGAGACTGGAGATTTTCTATTGTCTTGACCCAAGCTTTCCATTTTTTTGTTGTAACAAATCACCACAGCCTTGGTGGCCTAAACGATGAAAACGTACTTACCTTGCATTTTTCGTTAAGTCCGTCATGGTCTGGATGGGCTAAAACAATGGTAGAGGAGAGGCTTCATCCCTTCCAGAAGTTCTCAGGGAGAAGCCACCTCCCTCCTCATCCAGCTGTGTAGGCAGCCTGCGCTCCCTGCTGTGACCTCTTTCTCTTCCTCCTCCTCCTCCTCCTCC